TTTGTTGGCTCATCTACTCCCAAATCTCTGCGCTCTCGTCTCAACCTTCGATAGTTTCGGGCCGAATCCTTGGTACCTTTTTCTTTGATTATGTTTGATCACGTTTTGTTATGCGATTTTGTTGGCTGGGGCCAGTTATGGATGCCTGTGAGCGTGTGTGGGAGCGTGTTGGACCGTGTGCTTGTTATTGCCGTTTCGAAGGATTTAGTGGCATGAAGGAAGAGAAATTTTGAGGGTGGTTAAAGGACAATGAAAACTTTGTAAGGACAGACAGAAATTAGCTACGCATTACGAATCCAGGTGTCACTAAAACACATCTGTAGATATAGAGAAACTACAAGTATTTCTAGAGTGGATTTCCAAGACATCCTTTACTCTCTACAAGGGATATCCAGAACATCCTTTACTCTTTAATCGGGCTAGTTTAGGCTCGAAGAGAAAGAAAGTGGACAGATGGTCTCCTCTTCTCGGCTCGATAGCACCGATCTACCGCACATGATGTCATAGATTTATAATTAATGCAGAAAGACAATTATATTCATATTTATTTTTCAAAATTCTGTTTATCGCTATTGTGCTTTTACAATTAGCTAAGCAGTCTATATTCAGTTTTTCACTCATGAATTACGTTTAATCTCGGGATCTGAAAACCAGAAAGTCTGAATGAAATGTCACTTTATTTTCTACTCTCTCTAAATAGACAATAATAAAAATTTAGCTTAAAAAGGTACATCGTACTATAAAATTAATTTTGAAGACTGATAAGTCGAGAATATATACTTGTTGTTACAAAGATATGAAAAGATTGAACGGATGTTATTAAAAGTGCGGACTTTTATAGCTTTCTCCTAATACTAAGTAGAAGCATAACAAGAATATCTTAATGTGCTACGAGTATACAGTCTGATGTGAATATGTGAGCCCAGCTTTTACCGTTTCTTACAGAAAGTGGATCGGCTCGGCTCGAAATCCATGCAATGACCAGGCCTTCAGAAGAAACTGTTGAGATAGGTTTTTGGACCTAGTCCGTCTAAACGAAAAGAAGAAGAAACTACAAGAACTATTCGTTTATTTTTATTTAAAAAAGAAAAACTACTGATCTCTGTATATATATACAGTGAGCTAGATTTTTTAACTCAATTCAATTCAATATCTTACATAATAGAGCCCATAAAGGTCCAATCAGTGAGTAACGAAAGACTTCACTTGTAAGAGAACTACTTGTATTTTAATGTATAAACCAACAAGATTTGGATCTCTCTAAAGTTAACCCTGAGGAATCTATTAGCCTCACACATTTCTTGTGTGCTTCAACTCTACGTTCATAAAAATCAGGCATTCTTCAAACTAATCCCACATGCTATTTATATCTCAGGCATGTCTCTTATTTCCCCCCACACCAACCCGGATCAGGGCCAGCCAAACACATGCAAATCCCATAAAAACTGACAATAATAACCCACATGGTAGCAAGGCAGAATCAAGAATTATGACTAGGATGAGTAGAGTGAGGATGCGGAAGACGTCTCGCATATGCAACGACCGTTTGACTGCACGTTACACTGATAAGAATTTGGGCGCAAATCAAGCAGAAATCGTCGCACTTTTTGACACCAAGACAGACCACCCCGGCAAACACTTCAACGTACGAACGAAAGAAGGAGAACCAACAACCATCGAACCAGCAAATCCCATAAAAAACAGTTCAATGATATAGAAAAATAGATAACAAAAAATTTGCAAACAAAAAATGTACATTTGTGTATGTTTATCGGAAAGGCACGATGCCAAAATCAACTTTAAAATAAGCCGCAAAAGCACTCGAATGGAGCGTCGTCAAAAAGTGGCAAAAAGTGAATAATGGCAAATCCGCAAAGTAAATATGACACGTTGCAAAATGGCATTTGACGATAAAATGCTTTCCACACGCCTCCTCCCCCCCCATTTTCATTCCCACGACACAAACAAACGACCAAAGGACCCAACGACAGGCGTCACGAGACGTTGACAGTCGCACATTCGCATATCCGGCAGAGAAAGGTGTAGTTTTCACACATGAGGCCAGCAAGGGGTTAATATTTTTGGTTGTAGTTCAAACAAATAGCAGACTAGAACGCACCCACAAAGCAAACCCCCACCCCCGGCTACCTATAAATGCGTATCAATAAAAAAATCGCTCCGCTGGGCATATTGGGCAAATGTTTGTGTTGATAATCGTGCGTAGATATTGATGATGATGATGATGATGGTAGCCAACACCCTCGAAATGCTAGAGATGGACGTGAAAGAACCATGCAACCATGAGCTTAAAAGATCACGAACGGGAACTCTGTGTGGAACACTGATTTGGATTTATTTCGGTTTTGACTTTATAGAATTATAAATGGAATACTCATAGTATGTAATGAAGTTTTACGATTTCAAAAATTTTGTTATAAAGCTTATAGACTCTAGTTTTAGGTTTATTCAACCATCAAATAGATTTTTGGTTATTCTTACAGCATCCGATTAAATGGTTGAAATGATTCAAATTTAATTTAAGCACCCATATATGTTGTAAGGATATCGGAACCAATCTTTCGTATATACATATGTATATTTCAAAACTAATACGAACGTTATCGAAATATAAACGTTATCACTTATAGAAAAGGTATTCCAAATCACTGATGAGATTCATTGGCTTCAGCTTCTTCTTGCTTGTGATGCAAGTAAAACCATCAATTCGATTTCTAACAGAAGATATTATAGGCCTCTATGCCATCGTCATACAACATATAGTATATAAACGACTATTTATATATACACGGCTGTGTGACTTCTGTTTTTAACCTACACTTCGAAGAAATCATCTCTACCTTGTAAATTGTTATTTTTTTGATAAATTAAATAAAAATATTGTGGAAATAAATTGCAAAATTTCTGATAAATTAAATTAAATAAAAAAATATTGTGGCCGCCCTCCTCTGCGATTCTCATACCAAGTACTTAAGTGATGGCAAAACGAGATTTAATTTGTAAAATTTATAATAAATTAAAATAAATAAAAATAAATTGTGAAATTTCTGATACATTGAATTAAATTAAAACAATATTATGGCCGCCCTCCTCTCTATTCTCATACCAAGTACTTAAGTGATGGCAAATCTAAAATTAAATTGTGATTTTCTGACAAATTAAATACAAAAATTGTGGAAATAAATTGTGAAATGTGAAATAAATTTAATTAATATTCATTCCAAGTACTTAAGTGATAGCAAACGAGCATTAAGTTGTAAAATTTCTGTCAAATTAAATAAAAATATTGTGGAATTAAATTGTGAAATTTTTGATAAATTATGTAATTTCTGTTTGTGGATATGTTTGCATTTAACAAACTTATGTTTGTGTTGCGATTGTTCGTAATTGCGCTTTCTTTATATTAAGTTCATTAAATTCAATGACTTTCTTAAATATTATGCAATTTGCAAGTAAAAACACAAAGTGTTTTAAGTTAGTAATAGCAATCCGGAGTATCCCTATTGGTATGCTACATAAAACCGAATCACGCTGCCATCGCTAGCTTTACACATCCACAAACACACACTCACACCCACATGGGCACAAATATTATGCTTTTTTATGCTAAAAAGAAAATGCAACGCAAATGTGGCATAAATATTGAGAACATTTCGAAGGGTGTTGTGGGGGATGATGAGACCATCACCCTTCCGGTGGGCCTCTTTATTTGTCTCGCCAGCGACTCTGAAGTTATGACTTTTTGACATTGAATCTTTATGTGTGGACGCCATTCGATATGCATTAAAATTCAATAATAATAAAAAACAGCAACAACATTTCATGACAATTAACCCTTCGGTGTCGGTGTCGGTGTCGATGTCCATGTCGACGTCAAGAAATCAAAGCCAATAAGCAAGCAACAACAGCCAGAACGTACACACGAGTACATACATAAATACTCACACAATATTAACGTCACATAAATCTTGGCAGCACTACTACTAAGTCGCTATTAAGTGAAATTGACCACATATTTTATCTCATATGCGCACGCACAGCCGCCAAAAGTGTTGAGTGATGGGGCCAGAGGGGAGAAAAGAGAAGGACACGAGCAACTAAATAAAACACGAGCAGTGCCTGTGAACCCAAAACAAAAAGAAGCACAAGAAAACTTGCCCTTAAAGCACACAGCCTACACAAATATCTCTACGAATACGAGGCTAACTTACTAGTATTTGGACTTCTTTGTTGTAAACAATGCACAAAATTAATCAATAAAGAAGTTCGGTTAAATTTTATGTAAAAAAATGGAATTTCCGCATCACCATATTTGACTTTTAATTCAAACATAGCCACAATAGAAAGCCAGTTTTTGGTGACAACCCCTCACAATATTTCAACCATCATTAACCCTTGCAAACACATTGTTGTAGAATACTAATACACATTTAAAATCTGTTTTCTTTTGTGATAGCCTGTATGCTTATTAATAGTATAATATTTCATAGGTTTTCGATTATTTTTTACAATAAATAAATAAAATAATTTTTTTACCAAAAATCTGAAAAAATTGACTTTTTTGCAAACTGAAAATGTTTATGACGGGGGAAGAAAGGCTCAACTGCTATGTTACTAAATAAAGCCCTTAAGTCTTCGGTTATCTATATTCATTAATTCCTTTATATATTAATAGGCACTACTACCTTCATGTAATTTATACTATACATCAAAAGACCTTAAATCCTGATTCAAATAATAGGCTGCAAGCTCTCTTGGTTGAAAACTGCAATCTCTCGTCAGCCATAGACAAATGCTGATAGATTTAAAATTATTTGAGCTCCACCTATTGCTATATACATATATATAATGTGTACTACCCAAAGTAACCGCTAGGTGGAGCACCAACACTCCTTCATATCAACTACAAATCCTATCGATAGCCATCACTCAAAGTACAAATGTCGATACTTTTTCGTTTCGTGACGTGTACTCTTCTATAAAAAATGAACGGCTTTTGTGGCCGTCGGACGCATTCGCAATAGAACTGATAATCAAGCAACAGCGTCTAATTTGTAAATGATAAAATTAACTTCCTCCAAATCTGACATAAATACGCCTACAAGCAAAGCCACGTAAGCTACATTCAATCGGCAAGCACACGTTCTTTCTTTTAACTGCTACCGGTAAGAAAAATAGCTGCGAAAACAAAAACAACAAAAATGCAGCTGTGCACATGTAAGTTTGCAATAATTCTTAAGTTCAAACGCCTCTGTTATTAACAAATAAAAAACACTTTCACCGTTAACAACAGGCAGCATTTTGGTATTGGCGCTTGCCGCTAGCACCGCCCACGCTTTTTACTCGCCCTCGGATGGCGTTGTCGAACTAACACCAACAAATTTCGACAGAGAAGTAATTAACGACGATGCCATATGGGTTGTGGAGTTTTATGCACCCTGGTGTGGACATTGCCGCTCCCTAATACCTGAATACAAGAAGCTAGCTAAGGCTGTCAAGGGCATTGTCAAGGTGGGCTCTGTGAATGCAGATGAACACAATGCATTGGGCGGTCAGTACGGAGTACGTGGCTTTCCAACGATTATAATCTTCGGTGCGAATAAACGTTCGCCCACGAATTACAACGGACAGCGCACTGCTAAAGCGATTGCGGAGGCGGCGCTCGCTGAGGCAAAGAAGAAGGTGCAAGCGGCTTTCGGAGGCGGGAGCAGCAGCAGCGGTGGTGGCTCTTCGAGCTCCAGTGATGATGTCATCGAACTAACTGAAGATAATTTCGACAAGTTGGTACTTAACTCTGACGACATTTGGTTGGTGGAATTCTTTGCGCCCTGGTGTGGACACTGCAAGAATCTGGCGCCCGAATGGGCTAAGGCGGCCAAGGACCTGAAAGGCAAGGTCAAGTTGGGCGCCCTCGATGCAACGGCGCATCAGAGCAAGGCTGCCGAATACAATGTGCGTGGCTATCCGACCATCAAATTCTTCCCGGCCGGCTCGAAGAGTGCCAGTGATGCACAGGAATACGATGGCGGACGCACTGCCTCGGATATTGTAACATGGGCCAGTGACAAACATACGGAGAACGTGCCCGCACCGGATCTGGTGGAGATTACCGATGAGTCAAGCTTCGACAGCGCCTGCGAGGGAAAACCTTTGTGTGTGGTTTCAGTGTTGCCGCATATTCTTGACTGCAATGCCAAGTGCCGCAACAAATTCCTGAACACCCTTCGCACCCTGGGCGAAAAGTACAAACAGAAGCTATGGGGCTGGGCCTGGACAGAAGGTGGTCAGCAGTTGGATCTGGAGGAATCCTTGGAAGTGGGCGGTTTTGGCTATCCTGCCATGGCAGTGGTCAACTTTAAGAAAATGAAGTTCTCCGTGCTGAAGGGCTCCTTCTCCAAGGATGGCATCAACGAGTTCCTGCGCGACATTTCTTATGGACGTGGCCATACGGCTCCAGTACGTGGCGCAAAGAAACCAAAGATTATCAGCGTCGATGCCTGGGATGGCAAGGATGGACAATTACCTACCGAAGAGGATATTGATTTATCTGATATTAGTCTGGATGACGATGTTAAGGATGAACTGTAGAGCACAAGCCTACATGCGCACCCACAAGCAACTGTGGCAAACAAATTTCCAAGACTGTAGCTTAAGCTCAACTGCAACAACACAACAACAAACTTTCCAAAATCAAAAGGCAACAGTTCAATGTTCAATTCGAAGCTGTCCTTTCTTAGTCGGCGCGTTTGTCAGCCAGCGTATCAGATATGTATTACATAGCATTTCTAATTACCACTAAAACATACCAACTATGATTATGAACAACTTTTTGTAATGCAATCGAATCCAACGAAATCGAAAAATGTGTATATGATGATGAAATAAATAAAACAAGTGTTAAACAAACATTAGTTTGGTTTCGTATACAAATCATCCATTAATTCCATAATTTGGCAAAATTTAATTTATTTATTTGTAAAAATTTCTATAAAAATGTTTAAAAAATCTCTAAATATTTGCTTACTACTAAATATATGTACTTAAAAGTATTTGACACATTATTTTCAATATACCTGCTTGGTCTCGGATGTCACACATATTGATGAAAATTGCGATAAAATTGTATAAAACAAAACCAGATAGTCTTCAGTCATTTAATCCCATAATATCTGATTATCTCTAGTTTTATCTGGAATCTAAGTAACGAGTCTCTGGATGTTTGATGGTAAAGATTAAAGGTAATAAGAAGGAAACATTTAAAAAGTGAATCTTGAATTTCGTCACTGAACGTGCAAGAAGAAAATGAATAAATGAACATTGTGTCCAAAAATAATCCAAATAATACGGCAATTATTTTGTATAGTTTCATTCATTCATTTAACTTAAACAGTGAAGGGTATTTAAAAACAGCTCTCAACAATTAATGTGACATCCTTGAACCCGCAATTATGAAGGTACGTTACTAAATGCACAATGTTTATAAATGCCTTATTCAAAATTCTTGGCAAGCTTAACTTGTAAAAAGTTAATGCATAAATTAAGTACTCTGTGGGTACAACCTGTGAGCAAAATGTATTAATCCTAAATTATTGCTAGATTTATGTAAATGGATGTAAATCGAATAGTCTCAAAAAATAGAGTTCGCGTCTTTTAACTTCTCTAGCATTCTCAACGAATTGCAACATTTCAGTTTGTAATATTTGTATAAGAGTATTCTTGCTGACGCGTTAAAATTGGAGCCATTGATCACAAATGTTATTATATTATTCGAATTATGTAAATGCAAATAGTGTTGAATCATCAGTTCTTCTCGGCTTTCTTTTCTGTAGAGCTCATTTGCAAGACTAACTACAACAACAAAAGCAAACAACGACACAACATTTTGGCCAACGTGACTCAATTGCCACAATTTTATACTTGGCGCTCTGATGACTGTTTAAATTCATTTTGCTGGGCCCGATATCGTTAAAAGCATTCAAAGTGGCACGTACCTGCACAGATAATGAATAAGAACTGAAGACAGTCGTTAAAAAGAAGATACTGAAATAATGCTCAAAGGGATTTTCGAATGAGCGCACAAAACGGAATCTGAAAAGGGACAGTGTCCACACAAACACGAACTGTTGATTGTTGTAGCTGTTGTTGTTGTTGCCGTTGCGCATGAGCAAACGCATCGAGTGGCCCAAACAACTTACATACATCTCTTTGTATGTATGTAGGGACAGACAGACAGACAAATTTACAATTGCATTGAACATAAAAATATATGTTGTCGTTCTTGCAGCCAAACGCGTAAACTAACTGCTAGATAAGAAATTTGTAAATGCTAAATAATTAAATCTAATTCCTCGCATAGAATTTTGTTACTTGTTGGCGTTTTAAAAGTCTTTTCTGTGTTACTATTCGATTCGATATCTCTTGTGCCTGGACCTTAACGCCTTTGCCTCAGGCCATTTGATGATGCTTCTCGACCGGATAATTCTCGATTGATTGTATGGAGCGCGATGTGGCTGCCGTTATGGTCGAAGATACATCCATAAACCGATATTTCTTCTCTTCTCGGCACAGAAATGGATAACACATAACACCATAGTAGAACACCAATCCGAGCACAATGACGAAAAAAATAATAACAATAATGCCAAATGTTGAAAGTCCCGGTTGGCTTTCCAAGTATTCTTTAGGTGTTTGTATAGGCGGTGGCGTCGGTTTGGGTGTTGTGGTTGCACGTGGATAGGTCCGACGGCCGCTGACAGTGAAGAACAGGCAGCTGGATGCTGGATGGAGAAGTGGGCGAGAGCAACAACAACGCCAACGCGTTAGAAATTTGCAGAGAGATTTCCAAACCTCGTTCCCAACTCACCAAGTATCAGCAAAAACGTGAGATAAGCGTTGCGCGACATATTGTATGCACTTGTCTACAATTACAAACTTTTTTTTATTTATGGAGCACAACGCAAACGGCAATGAATGAGCAGTAACAAATACCTTTCCAATTCAGGTTCTACAGATACTCGATACTTACATTCATATCTCTTAGAGATGTGCTCACGACAACACGAAAATACCTGATGGTACACAAGAACTAAGAAAACTGAATACCATACTATTTTTTTTTTATAAATATGTATATTTCTCAAGAAATATATTTTCGAAAAAAATATGGTAAGAAATAAGTTGGATTTACAATTTGAAATGCCAGCTTCATTGTATTTAAAAGACAACCCATTTAAATTACATTACAAATGTGATACATTGCAAAAATTTATACAAGCAAAAATTTATTTTAAAAAATTTTTAAGTCATCTGCTTTTAATATTTTATAAAAAGAAAAACCAAACAATCAGTCGAAAGTACGATAATTCTACCAAAAACAATTAATTAAGAGGGTCCAAGGGCTGTTCTGCAACCGGCATTTGCGTGTAGTCACGGTAGTGGCACAAGCTATATTAAATATCGATATGTTATCGATACAGTTTACAGAAATTGCTGACGACATACAAATGTAAATAATAACATAAAACAGACATATCAGCTTAAAGTTAGCTTAAATAAACGATAAATTTATTGTTCAAACCTAAATAAGTTCATTTTCCATACATATCAATCGAGTAAGTCGTTTGTTACCAACACTTACCTGGACAAATGCCACCACTAATTCTACGAAGTTGTTGGCGAAGTCAACCGTGCCGCAGTCGTGAACATTCAATTGGTGAAAATTGTTATAAAATCGTTGAAAAAATATGTAAAAACATGAGAAAATTAAGTGTTAGCAAACTAGCTGCGTGCATATAATAGTTCGTGAATGATAAAACATATAAATCTAACAAAAAAACACTAAAATAACAAAGGCGTATACAAAACGCGACGCTTAAAGTCTCGTTTTTCGGCCGTTTTTTCTACACAGACACAACGATTACGGCCGTGTTCGTGTATTTATCGTATGTGCACTGCAAACGGCTAATTTAATTTACACAGCAAGTAAATGCAGTTAAGTAATTGAACGCAAAGCGAAAATATTCAGCCGACGCAGTGTGTGTGTGACAGAAAATATAAAAAAGGTACAGCGAAAGGTACACCACACGAAGCAGAAGAAGCAGAAAGAGAAACAGAAAAACTGAGCAACAACAAAAGAAAGAAAGAGTAACAACAGCAAGAAAAATATTGTAGTGTGTATGTGTGTGTAAGTGGAATATAAACAACGAAATTTTGTAAGAAAAAGCTAGTCAAATAGTGACGGTAGATGCTTGTGTTGGGAAAATGTCACATTTGCCATTGGATGCACGGGCCATTTTGCAGCACCTAAATGAATTGGGCTATAGAAATATATCCGGTGAACAACTACGTGAATTTCTGAAAGGTAAGCTATCAAGAATAACAAAAGCCGCTATTCCCCACACAGACAACTACACTTCCCGCCATTGCATGGGCAGCTGTGTATTTCATATGTATGTATGTGTGGGTAGTAGCAACAATAACATAAGAGATTTGTTTTACAAGTAAGTTTTGTTTTTCGTTTAAATATAACTACAAATGAGCACGAATTCGTCACCACCATTCTGCTTTTTGTATTATTTTTTCACATCTTAAGCACACAACACAAATGCAGCCGCTGCTGTTCGCCAGCAATGTTGACGACCTACAGTTTTTGTAGCTTTGAGTGTGTCTGTGCATTACAAAAAAAAAACTGTGTTTAAAATAAGAAAATAAAACGAGTATTACTCGGAAATTGTGAATAACACAGCAGAAATAACGAAAAATACAGCCAAGAGCTTGTGTATGCGAGGCAGATACCGATTGCAGGCGTTTAGAGCAAAGCATTTTGCGACCAACCGACCGACCGACGACGATTGCGTGATGTTGTTGTTGCTGCTGCTGGTTGCTGGCTGGCTTGTTTCATGGGTTTTGTAGCAGGGCATTGTATATAGTGGTGGCAATGGCAACGTCAAGCCAGTATATTGTATGTGTATCTTTCTGTATTTGTGTGTGTGTATGTGGACATGTTTCGGCCTCCACCGTGGCGTGGCGTGCACACACAGAGGCCGAACATTTTGGCTTGCTAGCAAGCAAGCCAGCGTCGCCATCACCATCGCCACCGACGCCTCTTCCACACATAACTGTTAGCTGGCTGGCTGGCAGCTTCATCTACGACTTCTCTACGCGCTTCACTTTTGCTTATTTCTACCATACACGTACTTACATACTAGAGCTGTGCGTAAATGCGTGCGTGATTTTGAAAGGCTAAACAAATATCCATCAATTTCGTATCATATTGATGACAGTAAGCATTGCCGTGAAATTCGTGAATTCACAAACAATAACAAAAAATACGACAATAAGGCTCATACAGTGAGTATTGCTGTCAGAAAGATGTTGATTATAGGAAGGTATAGTTTCAACATTAGTTTTGATGGCTTTAAAGTATAGCTGCAAACAAAAAATGTTCTCAATGCTGGCATCTGAGATTGACAGAAAATTATAGTGAAGGGCCAAAGAAATCTGAATTTTATAAACGTGACAATATAATGGTTTCGTGAATTCGTCTGCTCATGACGGTATTTTTTTGTCACGCACACAGCTCTTTTCCATACATACACACATGTGTTTTTTTCTTCCATTTCTCGTAGTTGTGTTGTTTTTGCCCGTGCTCTTTGCGTTCCTCATGTTTTCATTTTGTGCTGCTTGCCTGCCCTCTTTTATTTCATTTCGTTTTGCCACCTCTGCGTTGTTGTTGTCGATTGCTGGCCGCTGTGGTGAATTCATAAACTGCTTTTTGCCTCCACTTTCCCATTACCGCCGTGCTTTGTGTGTTCGTCATGCAAGATATTTTTTCTGCGTTATTTTGTGATGGCGGCCGTTCAAATAACTGCCAGCGCAGCGCCCGCTGTACGTTTTCTTGTTGCGTTATATAAAAGTTGAAGATATATTTTTGTGTTCTGTATGTACATGTTTGTAATTTTTTTATGTCGCTGTTGTCGCTGCCAGCGACCTTAATTCTTTGGCCAATGTTGCCACACAGTTGCTAAAGTGACAGCAATTTGCAAACAAAGCACCGATCATTGCCTATGCTCTTTCCTCATATGTATTTCTAATGATTATTTCCATGGCTGAGAAAATTTGCAAATCGCATAGCAACTACAGCTACAAAGTAAAATAGTATGTATGTGTGCACATGTTTAATTTGTTTGCTAGGAACGCTGTGTGCGTTTTGATTTGTTCGGCATTTTCCACCCTCACTCCCTGGCATGTATATGTATTTATGTACCCAAAAGTGCGTACGTTATATACATCATAGCATGTGCATGTACATACGTATCTATGTAAAAGTATAAATATTTATATAGATACACGCAACACACACACATTTGCGTCCGTTCAGCGGCAAATAAGACATCAATTGTGCGCTGTTTGTTCAAAGAATTGCGATACTGCACCAACAACAGGCACAATGACGGCAGACAGGCAGAAATCTTGTAGTTGATAAAGATGTGAGATGTGATTTTTTTTAGCCTGAAGACTGTTTTCTTCCTTTTAAGTATTTAGTTCTTCAAAAACACACTACTGCATTTGCATGACTCCTTCCCAGCCACTGCTTTTGTAGTGATGTGCAGCCCTAGTTTTTTTGTTTTTGTCATGAATGTGTTTTCGAATTCACCACAGACAAATTGTTTTTGCTTATCTTTTGTTTTTAGTGCTGCGCTCGTTTGCACATGACTCGAAAGTCATTTAAAAAGCTAACACATGTGTTTGTACAACCATACAGTGTCTTAAAAAGAAAAATATGGTCTGTCGAAAAGAAATTTTCCAATAAATAAATGTATATTAATGCCATTGCAGCCGTGTAGGAGAGAACAGCTGTTTTTGTTTATGACACTTAACTCATGCGTTGCGTTGATATGGCAACGCTGTCTATCACCCGACTTTCGCATGCTAGTGAGTGTGTGTTTGTTGGGTGCATTGACCATAGTTTTGAATTTTTAAATAAATTAACTCACACTTAATTGATGTCAACATATACACACAAATGCAGCAATATTATTGATTAAAATGTACATAGAAATGGCGCAGTCTGCAAACGCATGCATGCACACAAAGTAAAAATTGTGCCTACCTGTGTTTGTGTGCCTTACAAAAGCGATGCTTTAGAAAGATGTTTGGGTAAGAAGCTTTTATGTTGTCGCCGTTTTTGAGTGTCAGTTAGATTTTTGCTGTTGCATGCACAATGTGTTAGTTGTTTAGTATTTTGTTTGGTTCAGTTTCTAACATAAGTGAATAAATTTGTATCTAATTGATTTTGCCATGTTTCTTTTTCTACTTTTCGGTGCGCTACACCCTTGCTGCTCGCCCATGTACCATGTGCCAACAACAACAACAAACGACAATAAACATTACAATGATATACAGCTTATTTGCGCCTAAAGGTATGCAACCACAGTCGGATAAGCAAACCGCTAGCAAACTCGCAACAACAACAACAGCAGCTACAGGCACAACAAACAGCAGCAAGCAGCAAACTGGCCAAATTGCATCAGCAACAACAACAACCAGCAGCACAGCAGTTGCCCTTACACAACGCCCAAAAGTAAAGGTTATCAAAAGCAAACGTCCACTCTGCCATTTTAAATTCTATTTGGATATTTGCGATCATCAGCTAACGAAGCGCATTGAAAGCGAAATCAAAGCGCTCGGTGGTGCACTCGAATTCTTTCTGAACGAAAATATAACACACTTCATCACCGATAAGACAACAGTGCCAAGCAGCACCACTACCAATTGCAACAACAATAGCATTAGTCGACCGGCCACACCGCAAACACCACCAGTCACACCAAACACACCGCAAACACCCAACGAGGATGCACCACGCAATCAGATTGGAAGCGCCGTCACGCGTAAAACTCGACAAACGCGTGCCGATGCAATTCTAAGCCGAGTCCGTCGCCAGCAAAGCAGCAACGCAGCGCCGTCAACACCGACGTCGACGCAGCAATCTCAAACACCAAGGACGCCCAGTGTAGGAGCTCCAACCTATACAGTTTGGCAAACGGATTACGCTCAACGTTTTTTTAAACGCATACAAACTGAGCTGCGGGATTATCTGGAGGGTGAGAAAGCCGACACTCATCTGACAACCAACAAAAAGAACAGTAACAACAGTGCTGGCAACAACAACAATAACGCACATCTCATACAATTGAAGGGGAGCTTCATTAAGATAGAGTCGATTAAACGCAATTATCGACCTTATTATCATTTAATCAAGAAGCCTGACGAGTGGCCAAAAATTGATCTGAAAAGTGAGGACGGTGCGTTTCGTTTACAAGCCAAACCGAAATTAGCATCAGGTCAGCTGCCGCAGAGAATGACACGCAAGTCTGTGGGCTCGCGAACATCGCAACGTCAACAACAGCAACAGCGGGACGGAGAAAAACCGGAACAGCAACCAGCCCAACACGCCAAAGTGCAGGCATTGAAAAAGAACTCCATTAGTACTACACCCGGTAGTCCTAGAAGTCGTCTGCCACAATCGCATTGCCGAGAGCTGAAGGAGAGCAGCGATAAACAGTGTGGAGTGTGTGAGATCTGTAAAATCGAATACGATACGCTAACCGTGCACCTACAGACCAAGGATCACGAAAGTTTTGCAAATAACGCAGAAAATTTTATAGCGCTCGATACGCTAATACAAACATCGGCAGATCTAAATAAGTTCTTGACCGAGGAGGTGCAAGCAAATAGAGGGATAGAACAAGAAGACGACGAAACAGAACAAATAAGAGGAGGTGAAGAAGAGGAAGACGAAGAGCACGGAAACGTTTTGTGCAACGAAATGGAAGTGGATGAGCTGTTATGCGACAGCGCCATTACAAACACAACTAACAATCACACACCAACGCTTGACCCCTTACGACACAGTCCAAGTGGCGATGTGTCCCGAGGCGGACGTCCCTCACCTGCCTTGCGTGAGAAATCTAAACGCACTACAAAAGGCAAACACTCATCCGAGAAGTTCCATGCAACAACACCAACGCCAGCAACGCCCTCCCCCAAACATTCACCTACAAAGTCACACGGCAGTGGGAGTGGTGGTACAAAGAAGGCGACACCAGGCAGTTTATTGGAGTTGCAACGATTAGAACAGGCAGCCAGCAACTCTGCTGTGGCTGCAACTACACCGGCGACAACCGCAACGAGACGAAAGACACAAAACTCGGCAGTATCACCACCCATACGCGCTATGTTGCCACCGTCCTCGCTCTACAAGGTTGTGGAGACTACCGATGTGTGTGCGACACCTCCGCGAGGTCGGCGCGGTGCTGCGGCCGCTAACAGCACAAATGTGGACTCACCCTCTCTAATTGTCAAGTTCCAAAAGGTACGGCAATCAGAACTCGCGCGGCTTAACGGAGAAGCAGAAAATTTCATGTTTCCCAAGGCGGCGCGCAGTAGCAGCGAACTGCCTACGGATGTGGACCGACAGACGACATCAGATAGGGCGCGAAATAGCATATCTTCGGCTAGTTTGGACAGCACCAGCGAAGCGGACCCCGTGACCATGCCAGAGCCTGTAACAGCCAAAGGAAGACGCGCCATAGCGGTTCCCAAGCGCCGAAAGGGAGTTATGCCCACGACGACGCTGTTGCAACGACAGCTCTCCACAGGGAGCACAAGCAGCAGCAGCACGGGGGCCCAGCAGCAGCAACAGCAGCGCTTTCCAAGCGCCCCCATCCAGCCAGAGACGCAACAGCAAGTGTTAGATCAACAACGTCCAGCCAGCAAACAGACTGAGAAACCAACAACGCCAGCTGCAGTGCCAGAGGCAACGCGTAAAAGCAGTCGCACAGCCACGGCAATTGTTACAGCAGCAACTGCCAGTAGTCAGTTGTTGCGAGCCGCCGTAGAGGCGGCAAAGCACGGCAAACGGCGATACCGAAGGCGCAAGCCCTTGGAGACGGTCACATCAGAAAAAAGAACGGCTGGAGGCAGACAAGTTGCCAAACTGGAGGATTGGATGGGGGAGCAGCGACAAGACAAAGGAAAAGATCGAAGCGAGGATGAAGTGGAACCCGAGCAAAACCACGAAGATGACAATGATGACGATGATGATGATGAGGAGGAGGAAGAAGACGAGGAGGATGATGATGGAAGCGATGAGGACTTTGTGATTAGCCGGCAGTCCAAATCGCAAACAGCGCCAACTGCAATTCAACGTGTCGATACACGTGAAGAGCGCGCAGCGCGTCGCCTATCAAGACTGACCATAAATCGTAGTGCAGGTGAATTGGAGCCGCTAGCGCTTCCATTGGACTCACACTCGCCAGAAGCTAAATCGACACCAAATCGGCGAGGCGGTCGTGTGAAAAGTCAAAAGCCCACAACTCCTAAGAGCAAGCAACAGCAGCAGACGCAGCAGCCACAACAGACTTCGCCACAGAGCTTTGACTTCACCAAAAGCGAGCGTTTGCAGAAAATCCGATATGCATTTGAACAGATGCCCAGCTCGGAGCTGTGGCATCGTGTCTTCATGCGTCAGGATGCGGCCGAGGAAAACTATTACACATATTTTGGGTCGACAGAATATTGCAAACTGCCTTACGAAATGGGACCCATTCCGTTCGAGCGTACGCTGCCTAAGCTCCCGCACAGATGTGCGTTATGTCCGCGCGTAGAGGAGAAGGAGCCTGTTAAGCCGGAGGAGCCAAAGCAAGAGGAACAAGTTATAAGCAACCCTACCGCCACAATCTCGAAGGCCACAGAAACTGAAACGGGCGTGTATAAGCACAAGAAGCTGCATCTGTTGCAGCGTTACCAACTAGAGCAGCAACAACAGCAGGAGCAGCTCGGTGAGCCAAGCGAAATGAATGCCAATGCCGCGCTCACACTCAACACCACTGCCATACCCAAATGTGATAGCAAGGCGAGCACTCCGGAGCTGCTGGAGCGCGACTTTGTACCGCTAAGTGAGCGTACCCATGTCATAGGTCGCCTGCGTGCCGACTCTACGCAAAGCAGCACTAGCAGTAGCTGCAGCACCACTGCATCGGGAAACAAACCGGCATATCGTAACAAACAGCTGCAGCGCATAGCAGAACTACCGCCTCGGAAGTCGCCTAGAGAACATGCGTCAACGCTGGCTTTAGTTAGCTGTATCATCCGACAGCGACAGGATTCGCAGAGTAAGACCAACTCAGAGGTGGACGAGCCAATTATAGAGCAGCAGCAACCTGAAACAACGGACTTGAAGAAGCTAAGAACGCCTATAAAACAGGAGACGTCTGCTGTTGTATCCTGCCCCTCCCCACGCACCACACGCTCACAGGCTGCTACGCCCGTGGAAGAGCTGCGCTTTGCCACCGAGATCTCTGAGACTGTGAAACGCATGCGACGCGGCCAAAATAAATATGATCACTCCCCGCCAGTTCCACCTCCACGTCCAGCGACTGCTTCACGTTCCCCTCGAGGTCGACGTCCTGCCAATACACCAGTGGTGGCATCGACCACTCAACCACTTGTAAGTTGCAGCGGGCACAGTTACTCGAGGCGCCTACAGTTTGCAACACGACGTGAATTGCCAGCCAGCGTGCTGCTCGGCAAAAGGACGAAGCGACGTAATCAGCCGAATACGCGAATACAGCAGGGCACAGTAAACAACAACGCCAACAATGGTGGTTATGCGCCTGGCGTGCGTAAACTCCCCACCAAGAAGGGTGTGCTCGAATTCGAGATAGACGCGATTGCGCTCAGGAAGTTAGATGCGAATCTGAAGCCCCATCTGAGCGCAAGACTAGCTGCCTGGCAGCTGGACAAATACTTGGAGTTGGCTGGCAAGGAATACGATTTGGATTCGGAGCTCATTGAACTGAACTCAACCATACCAACGGCAACAGCAAACTGTGAGCTGCGAGCGGACACACAAACTCCACCTCCAACAGATTGTTTCACTAGCGATTTCGATCTATGCGACCTGTTGATGGGTGCTGGTAGCGGGGAAGAGGATGAGCCCACTGTCTCAGGCTTTCGACGTTCTAGCCAAGGCCTCTATAGCAGCGCCGCCATGCAAAGTTATTACCGTAAGCGCAAGAGTCTGAAATCGAATCGAACAGGTTGGCCCTCGCAAAAGAAACGGCGCTCAGCGACGAACGGGCGTCAAATGCCGGATCAACGCATCAGTTTCCAAAAGATTGGAATATGTGTACAGGAGGATCTAACGAAACAACAACTGCACAGGATAAAGCAAGAGGCGTTGGAAACAGAGGAGGAACAAACGACGACCACAACAACGGCGGATAAGGTACACAGTCAAACGACGCGTGATGACAACGACGAGGATGATGATGAAGATGGTAGTTCGGGCGGCGGTGGAAATACGAAGGATGCGCGGGGGGATGGCGTCATGACTCCACCAGCTACAGATGTGGATGAACAAGGCGCCGACACTGCAGATAAGAACGACGATGCTGAGGATGAGGAAGACGAAGAGGAGAATGTAGCTGACAGCATAATGGAAGATGATGAATCCGTTGAGGAGTTACAAGACGATGAGGCTGAGATCGAAGCAACCGATGCCGATGTGGAGGAGGCGGGCGAGGATGACGACGACGACGATGATGATGATGATGTATACGAAGACGCCTTCGAGCATCAACAGCACAAGCAAAATGGTGATAGAGGCAACCACAAAGAAGATGCTTTCAAGGATTGCTCCGATGAGCCACCCGCCAAGCGCAGTCGTTTACAACAAGCCACACCCATTGACGCTTCTATGGCCAACGTTGATGAAGACAGCCCCGGCAAAAAGGTGCTAATTGCCCTGCATAATACCAATGGACATTTGCTCAGTACCTCCACTCCCAGCACGCAATTGGCGCGCCAACACCAGCGACGCACTCCACAGCTAAATGGAAGTCTCGGTAGTTGCATTAGTCCGAGCGAAAAGTTGGGCGATAATTCGGACATATTTACCGTCTCATCCGATGGCCTCGACACTGATCTGGATCTGAGCAATACGCAGGCTGGTGATGAGCACCAGTGTCCCCATCAGACGCCCAAACGTAAATTCGACATCTCTAAATATGCACCGCCAAATAATGGCAAAGCGGCCAGCAGTTGTGCGGCTGAAGCCGCGACCGCAGCTGCCAAATCTCTAGCCATATCGCAGTTTTTGAAGAAGGAAGTTCGCGTCACGTGTCGACGTTTGAGGGCGCCCTTTAGACGCTTTCGATATCGTCGCTAAATAATAGCCTGAAGTTTCATTCGTTTTTTTAACTTTAAAGCATTGTGAAGCCAATAAGAATGTTCATAAGTTCCCAGGACATCTCATCTTTGTAAATTTGTGCATCAACACACACACACGATTATCATACAACTAGCCTAATTGAAAAACTAAAAACCAACATAACGCAAAGATCGTGAGCAAATAAATACGTACATAAGTTTAGATTAAATACTAGCTTAGCGCAAATTCAGTTTTAAATGGCCATTGCTCTTTTGCCACCCAGAAAATAAATGAACTACATACTTATTAGTTTGCATACCAACACTTATTCCAATTTCACCGCATTGCCCAACACTACTCAAATCATTTTAACCATATATGTATGTATGTAGGCAAGTATAATTAGTAATGTAATTAATTTTCTTTGCAATTTTTTATGTACAACTAGTTAAATGTAAATTACAGGCGTTTTCTGTTTTTATATATATTTGTTTTTGTTTCATTTTTTATCAATTAAATGCAACTCAAAGCTCAAAAGAACTATGTAAAAAATTTAACAAAAACCAAAAGCAATTGTAAAAAAAAAAAAACGAAAAACAAAGAGTAAATTAAATACACAATTACAATATCAAACAAATGAATTTTTCATCAAGACATAATTTCAATTCTCCAGCTGGCCGACATGATGATTAATTAAACTATTTTTAATTCAGACTTGCGCAAGCTTATCAAGTATGAGGAGCGTTTGCCTGTGCAGGAGAAAGAGGATTGCTTCAGCAGTCTGCACAAGCGTGGGACCATCAGTTCGCGCGCCAAGTCTGACAAAGAAAATGCGCCCCCAAAGAATCTGATGGAAAATCCTCAACAACCCAACAATAATTGCTACTGTAGTCTGAAAGATACGAAATCTCAATATGACATGGACCGTGAGTTCGCTGGCGAAGCTATTGTGGATATGTCTCGCATTTTTCGCGACAAACTATTGCTGAATGATGACGCACCATTTCAAGCTTCAAGCACCACGTCCGTTCGTCGCAGTCGCAGCAAGACCCGCAAGCCGTCGGATCGACTTCGTCCTAGCGCAGAATCGAGTAGCAGTCCCGAAAATCGTAGGCGTGAAAAATCGCGTAAAGCCAGAAAATCACGCAGTGTAAGCGCTGGAACGCGTGCTTCCGTAGTCGGTAAGTCCCACTTATCTAATATTGGTTCCAATCAGACAAATAAAATATGTATTCACAAAATATTAATTATATGTCCCACTACCTGTTTTAAAATTGAAATTCTTTCTCTATTTGAAATAGACTTGAAAGAGAGATATACATACTAGTTGTCAATTTCTGTAGAGGGTTCAGGGAAATATTTTTCTTTGGCTTTTAAATTAAGTATTATTTTAAACCACCAAAGTTTGGAGTTATGTTTTTGAAAACCAAGAATAGGGTGGTTTTGAAAGAAATATAAAATACGCTTAAAGCTGAAAATTAATTCTATATTAGCGATTATATTGCAATTATACTTACTCAACTTAAATTCAACGTAATGTTAATTAGTTCTGAAAAGAATTTAATTCGTTTTTTGAAGACGTTATCCAACTAGCTCCTCGTATAACCCATTCTCAGATCATTTTCACAATTCAACTGCATTTAGAAAATAAGTTGTAAAGACAACCCTGAATTAGGTCCCATAGAATTAGCAAATTGCTAAAAAATAGCTTTTATCTTTTAAGAATCGAACATTTTAATATAAATAAATCTCTACTTACAGTGCCCAAACGTCGTGCCAAATCCAAGTCCAAATCCGATCCAGTGGCTCTATATCAATACTATCAGAAAGAATGGAAGCATTTTCGCAAGCAGATACCAGGCGAACTATCGCATCCGGGCTTACGCTGGCAAATACGGAACAAGATGCTTGAGCCAAAGTAACAAAACACCGTGACAATCATTTTTTACACAAAATTATAAACTCTTCAAACGACGAAACTTTGTAATAAAGAGGAATTCAAATTTTATGTGAACCCAAAATATGTTTTCTTATTAACAACTTTAGCTTAAAGAAGACACCCAACTAAATGTTTCATATGAGAAGCGCGGAGAGGGGCTGTTCTTAATTAATTTAATTCGTTCCGAATGTCGCTTTGATTAGGTGCTTCATATAAGAAGCACGGAAAAGGGCTGACTTCTAGATTGCCTCGGGGAAAATAATTAATAATTAATTATAAATAATTATAAATTTAGTTGCTACGGTTAAGTGCCTCGTATGAGAAGCGCGGAGAAGGGCTACAAAAATCACATATTAACCTTAAATATTTAGTACGGCTGGTGATATCTATGAAAAAGTAATATTACAACGCTATGGATCGCGACTTTGAAAATTTGAAAAGTTTTGCGTTTGTAAAACTATGGCGAAGACATTTCTTTCAATTTTAATTTTCTAAATTCTACGTCAAATAAAAAAGGCTATTTAGGATTTGCTTTGTTCATTAGGTGCAGCTAATGGAACCTTAGCGTGTGAGTGAGCGCGCTAAGAGTTATGGAACGACGAGCTCGCCTTCGCAGAACGGACCCAGGAGCAACAATACCAACAAGAACTACCACAACGCGCAGTGTGCGTCGAGTTTGTGTTAATATTGAAGCTAATGGTTCCAAATCTCGAACTGCCTCGTTGCAAAGCACTTCGACGAAGCGCCGTCTAGTGCCCGTGCGACGAAAACGGGCAGCTGTAATCCAACCAACGAAATACTGTTCTTGCACCTCCTATGATTATCCCAACTATTATAATCCTCCGACGCCTTCGACCTCATGCGGCAGTTTCCAAAATGTTGACCAAGGCTACATTTATTCAGCAATTCAACATGCCTTACACAGCATGTACACAAAAAATGCGCTTTTGCGTCTTAGCTCTGGTCAGGACCTTTCGTTGGCCAATAGGGGAAAAGGATTAATGATTACGCCTAGTTCATCGACGACAACGCTTCGCGAAAGTAAACATACTGCGCCAATACGGAGCGCACAAAGACCTAAGATATCCGTCTTTCCCATCCACGGTGACGATGTATCCAATGAGACCTTGAATGAGATAAGAGCTGTCGTTGACACATTGGAGCACAACTTTTTAAAGCATAAGCCTCACATATATATGCATCAAGTGTCCCACCGATCCACACCTTCGCATAAACATCATGAAAGTTCCCGCAGACGGTCTCATTCACCGTCTCCCACGCGTAGGAAGTCGGGCTCCTCACATGCGCACCCGACTAATGGGTCGACGGATGCAAATTTCAACGCGCTAGAAGGCTTGATGCGCGAAACTATTAAAAAACTGAACAATTATATGGAATTACAATCGGCCATTCACACCCCACAACACCATCAGAAGCTGCGATTTGAAGATGTTGAGCAAAAAGCTATAGATACACAGCGCCACTCGTTGATTAACCAGGGTCGCGTTAATCAGAAACAGAAAAGACTGAGTGACAAACAGGTTATGGATCGAAAGAATGAAATGATTGATAGAGATAGACAAGAACTACAGGAAAGACTATCACACTTGGACAGATTGCTAAGCCAAGAGAGGATGATGATGCCAAAAGACAGGATGTTCGTGAATGTGAAGAGCTTAATAAGTCAGAAGAGATCAATAAGTCAGGAAAGATTACCAAGCCTGGAAAGATTGCCAAGCCAGGAAAGATTACAAAGCCAGAAGAGGCTACCAATCCAGGAAAGACTATCAAGCCAAGAAAGACTATCAAGTCAGGAAAGACTATCAAGCCAGGGAAGACTATCAAGCCACGAAAGACTATCAAGCGGGGAAAGACTTCCATGCCAGAGGAGATCAGCAAGTCAGGAAAGACTACCACGCCAAAGGAGATCAGTAAGCCAAGAAAGACTGAGACAAAGTGTACTGCTAAGTCAGGGAACCTCGATAAACCAAGATAAATATCTTAGCCAGAGTGTCCTTATAAGAGAGCAACACTTCAATAACGATCAACCAAACCACCAAAAACAACTAAGCAAGGAACAATTGGCCGACCTGGAAGAACACGAAGCGAATGAAGAACTACAGCAGCAGCAACAGCAACAGCAAATTCCTCAAAACCAATATCAGGGTGTACAGACATTTCCAGAGCACCATTACAGGCTACCGCAGCCGATACGTTTCTTGCGAAGACTTACACACTTTGGAAGAAAATCACGATCCCACAACGCGCCACAGGTCCATGTAATGCCAGTGCAGCCGGTAATTATACAGACACAACCAGCTCAGAATGTCATCAAAGCGGACATTTCAACCAACACACGACGCTCCAACATATCACGGCCACCGACGCGACTTTTTGAAAGACGCAGAAACACCAAATCTAGGGAAGAGACAGAGGCACCAGTCGTCATACAAATTCCTAGCCCTACCGCCAGTGGTAGTGCAGTAGGTGAGCACATCATGCAGCCTGGTTCTAGTCCCCCAAATGCACTATTTTCGTCTACAGCTAGTGTAGAAGCGGCGTCAACCATAAGCTCAGCTGCACAGACACAAACTACTCGGGATTGTGGTACCACAATGTGGAGCCCCATGGCACGCAGTACGGTAAGTATTTGCCATGATTCGGATGACTCTGACAAGCGGATCAATAGGGAAATGGAACCAAGCCGTCAGGTAATTAAACTTTTCACTACCCAGACAAACTACTCTGCTCAAATCAACCTTCTACAGCGCTACGAAGGTGGTATGCTGGATAAAGAGCTTAGCATTGAGTTTGTTGAAGAAACAGAATCGGAAGAGGTGGAGTATGATGAAGAACATTTCGAAGAATCAGAAGACAGCTGCATTGATGAGTGGTACAAAAAAGCCAAATCAAGTTTAGCTGAATTGGAAAAGCTGCAATCGAAACAGGAATACTATAATGGAAGCTTGAAACCAGGCTTCGCCGATAAGCTTAGAGAGCCCAGCCCCTGTAATGTTGTACAAGAAGGAGCTATAGCAAGAAACAGGTCTCCAACTAGGAACAAAAGCCCCAGCAGGCAGAGTAGCCCAATTAAAAATATCAGTCCACTTCGACAAATAAGTCCTTCTAGACATAATAGCCCTCCTAGACTTAACAGTCCACCTAGACATACAAGTCCAGCTAGAGATAGTAGTCCAGATAGACATAATAGCTCTGTCAAACATAAAAGTTCATCCCGTCATCATGCCAGAAAGAAGACCACAGTTGTGGAACCGATTAGTGATCATCAACTATATACTAGCAGTGATTTAAGTGACTTCGAATATGACAAGGCCTGCAACCGCATTATAGCAACGACAGATAAATCCGTTTGCACCAGCGATACGCCCAGTCCGCGGCACAAAAGGTCTTTGGTGTGCATTGTGCGCGACTGCCACTGTTCCGCTTTGAAAACATCTCGATCACACAGCAAATCTGGGAAGGTAAAGTTCGAAAATGCCTGCACAACAAGATTGATGTGCAATGCAGATAGCCCCATAGCCATCAATCCCCATCGGTCCCAATCGAGCTCTTCGGCAACGTCAGTCCCACCTCTACCGAGACCCAAGTTTCGTGTACTTAAAAGCCTCAGTGAGGCATTAAGCAATAGTCTTGCCAAAAAACCAATTGAGCAGCCACAACCCAAAGTCAACGATCTTAAATTTAGGGAGCTGCTGGCCGATGTAAAAAATAATCGTGAAAAATTGATGAAGCCCAAGAATCTGCCACGAGTTCGCAGGACACCGGCCAGACTGTTTGATAGTCGTCCATTAAAAAAAACCGAGTCTAAAGTGCGGAAATCAGGGGGTAACGAACGCCCATCGGCGCCATATCCAACCTGCTGGGGCTAAGGTCGCTGCGATCACAGAAAGCCTTGAATCAACATTCGGAATGCAAGGTTAAAATTAATAAATTACACTTGTGTTGATGTCAACACCAGCACCAACAACACATTTTGTTCAATGTAATGGGTACAAATTTGCAGTATGTTGTGTAGTGAAGTAGTCCCCCATGAACCGGAAATCATATGCCGGTGCAAAACTTGTGTGAATCGGAAACCTAACGTTGAACCCTGGCCGGATAGTGCACCACAACCCGAAACAATTCAGCAAATCGAGCCAATATATATTGAAGAAAATAACATAATGCCACCAGTCGAAGACCAACAACTCTCACAAAGTGAGGAAGAAAGCATTCTTGGCAACGAGGAAGCCCCTCGATCGGGGTCAGCTTCTGCTGGTCGAGCGAACGACCGGCCACTGATTTTGCTCATTGTTGTTAAGTAAGGACTCATATTTGCAAACCCCAATAACATTTCAACATTCATTTCAAATATATCAACCTATCTTTTAGTAAATCGGAAAATGGAACCAAATCTAAAGAAAGTGATGGTGGAGGTGGTGTATGCAGGTAAAGCTTTTACTTTTTAATTTGAAAACTCTTTTAACTCTCTATTTCTTCTCAATAGCGAATGTCAAAATGAAATGCGATCACGTGAATGTTCTTCACGGTAAGACAATCCGCTTAAAAACTATTGTAATATTTTGTATTTTCTCCCATTCTATGAAGCTTCAAAGGTAACGAAGAGGATATGCGCGGATGTTCATCGGGAAGAGGGTATGATGGTTTTCTGGGCAGTGGGCCGTCATCTATATTTTTATAATGATATATTTTTCAGTGGGCGTTACTCTAACTCGTTCAACCCCAGACAGTGTTGGCGGAACATGCCCATGAATATGCCTATGAATATGAACGCGCAGACAGGCTGCAAATGCGGAGCTATAAATGGGAACATGAATGCGAACATGAATGCGAACATGAATGGAAACATGAATGCGAACATGAATGGAAACATGAATGAATATAGGAATGCAAGTATGAGCAGAGCGAACAGCTCTTCGCGACCAAAGAGATGTCGATGTGAGAAAATGCAGAACGATTTTCCTCCACAACCACCCAGTCGCAACAGTTTTGTAAACTATTCCATGAGTGCCGACAATGTGTCCCGTGTCATGACGCGTGAGCCTAGCGTTGTAAGTTTTCCTGCGCGACACAAGAGCGAGGACTGGACAACTGGCCAGGAAAAGGATTGCCCATGCAATCAACAGCGTTACAACAATGTGGAGAAATATCAACGTGTCGATGTGCCCATTTGCATAACAAAAGGACAGTGCAGTCGCTGTCGGGGCTTTGAAGAGGAACCCAACGACTATGACTACCAATGCCCCACGGGTGATGAAGAGGAGGAAGTTTACACCAGTGATTGCAATATCCAGCGTATGCCAAAGAAAAAACCACCCCATAAGCCAGATAACCAGTATGAGAAGCCGCCGAAACCACCAAAAAGGCCAAAGAAAAGAAAAGAATACAACATTAGTCGCAGATACGACCGGTTTGCTTCACCTCCAATCTTACTGGAGCCGAAGCCTTGCTGTCTGGAATGCTGTTGCCGTCCGTGTTGCCGTCCTTGTTGCCATCCATGCTGTCGTTGGTGCTAATTTTGTCGACAGAACAAATGCCTTATCCATCACTTTTAACTGAAAAATACAATAAATCCATAGCCCAAACTTCAAAGTTATAGAAAGTTGGCACCGCAGCATGCTGACTTAATTCATAGAGAACAATTTTCGAAAAATTTACAATGTATTCACCCTGGCCTTAGATGTGTAGGGACCCGTGCCATTATGCCTGCGTATTGTAGGGTTAAGCGTACGGGGAAATTGTCGCTCTTGCGGAGGGCTCTAAATAGAACTGGCCGACGCAGCTCTTTAATTTCGGAAATATACCGACATGATCATAATAGTGCGAAAACCGGCGAAACTTCAAATGATTTGAACGTGCTTCCATCCTTCTCAGGTGATTCCACATCAATTTATCATGTGGTTGGCGTTCTTTCAGAAACATCCACAACAACAAATGAGTTCGTTAAAGAACTTGACTCGGTCCACTCTCTAACAATATCGAAGAGCAGTCACAGCAAAGATCTTAACATTCCTGTTACAAAGAGAATAAGCGGCTCTTTGCAAAAAGGTATGGACGGCACATCGTACAAAGCGGATCATCCGGTGAAGGGTATGGCAAAATGCAAAAAGCGAATGGCAGACAAGGAGCGTAAACAAGCTAATTCGTCGACTATGAAAACATCTAGCAAGTCGGTGCAAACAGATGTCAAATATGGTAAGGAGTCCATATCTATACACAAACAACCAAATCAATAGCTTCAGTACCGCCCTTTTTAGATTCCAGTAGAACGAGGAAGAAATCTGGTATGGCCATAGAACAGTTTAGCAATCTGAAGTGCAAGTCAAGCAGTCGCTTTCAAAATGTGGCTCTAGTGGAAGGAGCCATTTATCCTTCCACTTGGAATATAAATGCTAGCACAGAAAAAATTAAGAACTACCCAATACTATGTAGTCTGACCGAGGTGATTAACTGCAAGCGCCTAAATCGTACGCCATACGACCACAAATTGGAAATGCCTCCATCACCCAGGAGGCCCAGGATGGCTGGTGACTACTGTGGCTGCAACCATTGCGGCTGTCAGTTTATAAAGCATGTAGATGAATCCCGAGACTTGAAACATTTTAGTGGCAGTCCAAAGAAAGCGAAGATTCAGAAGAAAGCACTGGTAGTGCCACCGCTTCCAAAGGATAAGGGTCCCGAAAAGTCATCCACTCAAAAATGGCGAAGAAAAGCCACTCCCAGTGGCGTTAGTCTGAGCCGTAGTATGGCCACCTATAGCATGGGTGGTCAGGATGCGTCGCGTTGCGATAATCAGAAAAGTTGTCCCTGCCGTATTAAAATCCTGCCGATGATGGATGAGATAAACGCGAATTGCTGCGATTTTTCCGATCATAGCTCTGGTAGCGTTCAAGAAGCGTCGAACATTCAATTGAAATGTAGGAATCTACAGATTATTTGCTGCAATTGTCAGGGCGCCACTAAAGGTCAATTTCCGACGAATTTGGACGAATCCGGTCCTACACAAATTACTGAAGATGTAAAGATCGGCCAAAATTGTGGAATTAAAAACATAGATTTGGCCTCGAAAAAAACGTCGGTGGCGCCCACTCCTCGGAACAATGACCTTGAACACTTTCTAAGAATTGAGAGCATTAGCCAGCCTCCATCGGTAAAAACACGCAAAAACTCATTAGAGAGAATTTATTCAGAAATTATAATAAGTACCACTCAATTGCCGCCAGAGCCACTATCTTTTCCGGCAAGAATAAGCAAGAGGTCGTCCGAGAGAAATATTTCACAAATGATGAGCAGGAACGCGTCACAGAAACTTCTTTCACAAAGAATTAGCCGAAAGCCCTCATGCAATGATATCGGCAAACTGCAGGATGAGTCTTCTGAAATATCAATAATCAGTGTGAGTGACTTCAAGTGCGTGCCATTGAAAAAATCGGATCTCAAATCGATGGATTGTTGTTCGGACGATGAGAACTACGAGTATAAACGGTGTGTATTGATAGTGAAGCGTAGACGAAAGAGTAAACAGCGAAGTAGTAAATGCGATGATGACAGAACCCAATGTCCATCTCGGTTTTCTAGTCAGCATAATATGCCTGAGGTTCGTACACCGAAATATGAACGCAAAAAGAAGCAGTTAGAGTCCCGACCAAATAGTTTTATGAATAGTTACCAAAGCCTAAACCACATTCCAAGCCGACATGTGAAAATAAAACCAAAAGTTAGTCGGATAGGACTAAATAAGCCAAGTGGTGGTAAATCTAGAAATTGTCGTCAACAAGATCGTGAACGGAGCAGCGTCTCTCAGGGCTTCAATCGCAAAGCGAAAAGCGATCGAAGCTGCTCGCAGAAGCGAGCATCTTCATGTCGAACTTCAACTAATAGAGCGACTGATTATAATGATTATTCTAAGACGCATTATCCAAGCTGTTGCCGTAAAATGCCATCAACCAAATCAGTGAAACCTGAATCAAAATTTACATGGAATAATATTAATAATAATACTTGCGCTGAAACAAAAGAACCCAAGCGGAAGAACAATTGTACATGCTGCTGTTCCCGCAAAAAGAGAGCCGAAAAATCATGTCAAAATGATTTTGATGATGATATACCACCTAGAAGTCGATCCAGTAGTCAACACGATATAAATACAAGAATATCTACTCAATCGCTAAATACTTGTAGTGATCAAGAAACGCCAGGTACCAGATTGTGTAGCCGCAAGAGTAGTCTTCATGATTTACATCGGGAGAAAACACCGAGGAGTCGGATGAGTTATCAGGATATTACTATAAGTGTATCAAATAGTCTTACCAATAACGATCCGTTAAACGAAATTTCAAGAGATATTAGTCATCAAGAAATTCAAGGCAGTGAATCGCCACCAGCTGCGAAAAAATGTGAGCCCCCCTGTGTTGATATACCAGTGTATGTATGCAACGATTGTAAGTGCCGGGACGGCGATTCGAAACGATCTGCAAAATGTATCCAGGTAAGAGCGGAACAAATTGAAAAATGCTGCCAGGTCCAGACCGAAAACGACCAGAATTGGCTGCCCAGCTGTTATAATTATCAAACTGAAATGCCAGCACCTACATGCTACTGTTGTAATCATCAACCAGCCTACATGATGCCAACTCAACCAATATGGTACTGGTCTTCTGTGCATCAGCCCATTGTTAGGCAGTGTTGTAAGTCCAATATAACTTGCTTTTCCCGCTCTCCAAGAACGGTTACGATGGCAATGAATGGAACAGAGCCGCAAACAAATTTCTATGATCAGATAGCCCCAAGTTGTAAATCCTGTTCGTTGAGTAAGCCACCCAATGAAAATAATCTATTGTGCAGTTTTGAGAACGAGCCCGGTAAGTGTAATATGAGCAACGAAGATCCAGGTTTAGTTCCTGAACAAACTATGAATTGTTGTATTAACACTACAGAACGCAAATGCAGTGGAAGCTCCAAAGGTTGCCCTGGTTGCCGAGTTGATTACTACGGTGGCAGCGTAGTAGTGCCTCTTCAAAATCTTCGGCACAGTCTGGCTGAGAATCCAGCTTGCACTTCAAAATGTTGCATTTATGATCCCATTTATAAGGAAAAGAAAAGTGCCTCAGAAAACGCTGCAATATCAGGTGGATCAGAATTTTCTCTAACCTACACATCAAAATTCGAGAAACAGTGCCGCATAAATCCACAATATGCGCCAACAACTCTTACCAGCTATGAAAAAAATATATTAAAGGGCCTGGAAGACCAAAAAACGGGAGCGTTTATAAAGCTTACTGATTCTCGGGATTCTTTAGTAGTTTCACATGAGAGACTTAACAGACATGATAGTTTCACTACCATAGACTCCGGCCAGTCAACTCGAAAATATTGCAAGGACTGCAGAAACCGTCCACAGGTACCAGATTCATTCAAACACAATCCCTTGAGCGAAATGAGTGAGCCCGAGCCCTGCAACGCAGCTTGCTCGAGGAAAAAAAAACAATCTAGAGGTCTCTGCAATAGGAGACCCAGAGGCGATAGAGTAGAAGAGCATGAATCAGAAAATCAACCAAAAGAACCGAGGGAACGAAAGGGTCTTTGCAAAAGAAATAGGCCCAAAAATGAGAGAGTGGATGAGTACGAGTCAGATCCGCAAACAGGCGAGAAAAGAGAACGAAGAGGCTTTTGTAAAAGGGATGGAACAAAACGAGACAGGCAGCCGAAGGAAAAACCACTTAAAAAAGAAAATTCTTCAACGAGCAGCTTCTTCAGTAAGAAACGAAAACAACCAAAGGAACCAAAAGAAAAAAGTTCTTCGACCAGCTTATTTAAGAAAAAAGAAAAGAAAATAAGGGAACCAAAAGAAAAAACCTCTTCATCAAGCTGGTTTAATAGAAAAGAAAAAAAACGCAAGGAACCAAAGGAAAAGAAACCAAAAAAATCGAAGGAACCAAAAGAAAAGAGCTCTTCAACAAGAAGCTTTTTTAGCAGGAAACAAAAAGAACCTAAGCAACCAAAAGCAAATAGCTCTTCGACAAGAAGCTTTTTTAGCAGGAAACAAAAAGAACCTAAGCAGCCAAAGGAAAAAAGCTCTTCGACAAGAAGCTTGTTTAATAGAAAACAAAAAGAAGCAAAGCCACAAAAGGAACCGAAGGCGCCCAAAGAACCGAAGCAAAGGAGCTCTAACAGGGGTTTCTTTAATTGTAATAGAGATAGAGATAAACAACCCAAGCAGTCGCAGAATTCGAGGCAAGTAAAGGAACCGAAGTCACCAAAAGAACAGAAGCCACCAAAGGAACCGAAGCAATCAAAGGAGACAGAGCCTGGAAAACCCAAAAAGCAGTGGAACCTTTGTCAACGGCGGCAAGAGAAAAAACAAAACGATAGAGAGGTTGTACGCCAATCTTGCAAAGAGCCTGCGCCAACGAAACAAGAAACGGATCAATGGCAACGAAACCAAAGTAGAGGACATCCGCCCCCAGAAGAAGAACCACATCACTGGCAACAAAACACAGAAAGTAGAGGGCTTCCGCCCCCTGAAGAAGAACCAAATCACTCGCAACCAAGAACAGAAACCCCAAAACAAACAAATGACGACGATGTCAAGGTGTTGTTCGAGTCAAGCTACAACTTTAGTAAAGATAGTACTCAAATCTTAGTAGATGACGAAGATATGATTACGCCTACAACTAATCGTCGGACACGTGGAGAGACACAACCACCGCAACCTAGTGAAAATAACTTTTACGCCATTTGTTCCTGCCAAGAAGGACCTGCCCCTGGACCCTACTGCCATCAACAAACCTGCTCACAAAAGCGAAAAAAGAGCATTTTCCGAGTTTAAAAAATAGCACTGGTAATAATATTTAAATATTGTTAAATTAAGCGTTTAAATTACGCCAACCAAATCTATAAATTCTGACAAATATATACAGCTGCAATAAAATTGAATATAAATAGCATAATTAAAATGAGTGTACATTTTGCAATTTCTATATAAGAAAAACAAACTTCTTGAACACAGGCACTCTCCAACATCTTTATTAATTAACGGTTATTTTTTTGTGCCAAATGTTGCCATATTCCGTTTTTTTTTTTTTTTTTTTTTTTTTGGCAAAAACTGCTTGACTTTCTGGCTACATAGTTTCACTGCGAATGGCACAGAACATATGTTTCGGTAGAAGAAGCATACAATTTGTGTGGCACTGCATTTACAATTGCCCACAAAAATGCTAAAATTATTAAATAAAACGAAACAATTGGTTTATCCTGCTATCCGCAGCATTTCCAACAATTCGTCTGTGTTAGCTTCAGCGCAACAGAGTAATGAAGCAGTTGAGTCTTCCGACACATCGGCCAGTCCAGAAATTCCACAGCGACCGGCGCTGATACTGCCTCAAAACTATGCAGAATACACTCCCGTTAATAAAAATAGCGCACGACAGGCGTGGATTGAGAATACGGACGCAGTGAAGGAGCGTAAAGTGGGCATCATTGAGCTGCATCCCGATGTGTTTGCCGCTCAGCCCCGTGTTGATATCATACAGGAGAACATCGAATGGCAGCGCAAGTATCGTTATGTAAGTTTTGCCCATACAAAGACACGTGCCGAGGTGCGAGGCGGTGGTCGTAAGCCGTGGCCACAGAAAGGTGGCGGTCGTGCACGACATGGCTCCATACGCTCGCCTCTTTTTAAAGGCGGCGGCATTGCGCACGGACCGCGTTCACCCACCACCCACTTCTACATGCTGCCATTTTACAAACGCGTTTTGGGCCTTACATCGACGCTAAGTGTAAAGCTGGCACAGGATGATTTTCATGTGATCGAGAATGTGGATATACCTACACGAGATGAGCAGTTTATTAAGGATCTAATAGCAGAGCGCAACTGGGGCCCGTCGGTACTGATTGTTGACAAGTATGTTATCATAAAAATGCTATGATTTCCATTTAACCAAGGCCTCTTGCAGGAACGACATTTTCCCCGAGAACATTTGTTATGCCACCGACAATCTGGGCTATGTAAACCTCATGCCATCTTTTAGTTTAAATACTTATTCGATGCTGAAACACGACACGTTAGTGCTTACAATTGATGCTGTTAAACATTTGGAGGAGCGTTTGCTCTACCAACTACATCGCAATGATGCCGCCAAAACTGGTGGCAAATTCAAATTGGATCAAGTCTAGTTTAGTTCTACATTTATTTTTCAAATGTTACTAAAAATGTATTGTGAAAGAAAAAAAGGGCCAGATTAATTATTATTGTTCAACTTGTTGGGCACTTGGCGTCTGCAGTGGCTTGACCACCGTATGAAGTGGATCTTTGTCGATGTCGGAGATAACTATCTCGCAAGCGTTCTGCAGGCGTTCACTAAGAATGGGCTTGAATTCGCGCAAATACCCACGCTCCGAATTCGAGTGATTGCACAACAAAACTGTGGTGCCATTGTGATTGAACTCCAGCAGCTCGTGATGTGTCATCTCTCCGGTAATTACTAAGTCCGCCTGTACACCACGTAATAAGGAGGCGCCCGAGCCGGCGCAAATGGCAACGGTGTTCACAACACTTTTTGATGTATGAGTAACGGCCAATGCTAAATGGACGTTGTTCTGTATGTGGTTTTGGAGTTGATGTACGATCATAAATATTGGCGAACTAGTTTCAATTATACGTCCAGATCCAGTGCCCTCTGGTGCGTTCGGTTCAGGTATTAACGGCTTAATGTTGTTTATATTTACTGATTTGGCCAGCCAATCATTGACGCCCCCATTAAGCTTATCCCAAGCTGTGTGCGGTGAGTATAGAGCAATGGAATTGGCCAGACAAGCGGCCACAACACGCTCCTTCCAGTTACTTTTGGTGATGCGTGTAAGCGGCTTGAATATGGGCGGATGGTAGCTAATGATAAGATCGATCTGCTTCTCTATAGCCTCACTGACGACCGGCTCTGTGAGATCGTTAGTCAATAGGATCTTCTTGACATCACGTTCCACATACGGCTCTATCAACAGCCCCACGTTGTCCCACCTACATAGAGCTATGTGTAATTTTTTGAAATTGTAAAACTGTGCATGTGGTTACCTTTCGGCCAAATATGTGGGAGCAAAGTTTTCAAGTTCCTGAACCACCGTGGCTAGTTTCTGGCCGCTAAGGGTGCTCATCCTGCGCAAAATACTTACTGTGCCTCGTATCATATACCAAAACAACTAATTTTTAGCGAAATATACGAAAAGTTGGTTATTCCTTTTATAGACCTACATATAGAGCCCACGGAGCTGCCGTACTTTTGCGATTGGTGTTCGAAAGCGCGTGAACTAAATTTTTGACCACAACTTTAAACGATTAGGATTTTGATGGAACTGAATGCTTGAATACAAATATTTACCGAAACGATTTTGAAATTAAAACAATTGCCAACTATTCTGTATCTATACAATGTTTGTGTACACTTTCTAAACAGAAAAGCAAACAGCACTCGGTGAGGGATACTATGTACTTATTTTCTTTCAGTGCAGCATATATGTATGTAAATTCGCATTAAACGTTGAAAATCCGCAGGAAAGACTCTTCGCTGTGGGCATATTTCCAAACGAGAAGATTTCCAGATCAGCGCGTTGAGGTCAAAGATAACAAATATGGTTGAATAATGATGATTTATGCTTAAAATGCGAATATCCCAGAGGGAACCCCTATTAGTCATTGAGTACAATTCAAAACGGTATTGCCAAAAAAAGAAACTGGATTCTACAGCATACATACATATGTACCTGCATGATTTCTATTGAAAACTCAATTATATGTAGTGACATGTCAGTTTATTTTCCATTTAATTTATAATTCGATATAATTTTTCATAAATGCAAAATTGAGACAATATTACTTTTTATACCTTTCACGCAATAGAGTTCAGTGAAAACTCTCTTGGCCTGACACTCATGGTCAGCCAATTTTTGTCCGCCCAAGGGGAGTGTCTGCTTAAGGGGATACTTAAATACTTTATACACCGATCGAATGTTTCAGAAAAAGTATCCGCCGAAGAGAGTGTCCGGATAAAAGAGGTGTCCGTTAAGGGACTTTTCATTGTAATAATATTTAGCAGTTTTGTGTAAATGTTTCTTTCACTACTCCTGACTCAGCCCACGGTTATTATAGGTAAATAATATTAGGATACAAAAGTTTTCGTATCAAAAACATGTTTATTTATTAAAATATTGGAACAAACAGCTTATTGACAATATTGTTGTCATATTAGATGGTATTGCATCAGTCGCGGGTGTCCAAATGCAAAATTACTTTCTAGCCATAAATAAGATAGTAGAGACATACATATACTATATGTACATAGTTCGTGACCTATGGCCATGGAGCCATAATGCTTTCATTTTAAGACACAGTGAATATACATAATTGTATGTATGTATGTAAACTCAGCGCAGACGAAGATAACGTCTTAGCCCGTTTCTTATACATACATATGTATGTATGTCTGACCCTAAATATGTACATTCATGCAAACATACATACGTGCTCAACGGGGGATTTTGAACAGAACCAAATGCATCCTCAATACCCAATAGTGTGTATTTGGTGCTCACGTCGATATCCTGCTTGCAATTGTATACACATAAATGTGCATGAGTATGAGTGCATGTAAGGAAGTGTGGTTGTGTGCGAGGCTGCAAATGTTTTTTTCGTTTGCTTCGCAGACGCATGCCTCGCATACGCATTTCAGACGTTGCTCATTTCACATGTCGTAGCAAGAAATATTAGAACGAGCCTTCGGATTTTAAATGCCAGGAGGTAAATAATTTACAAATGAATGAAAACGTTTTAATTTCATAGTAATTGCCGCTGTCGCCACTTATGTTGTTGCTATATTGCCAAAGCTAAGTATTGCTGCCTAAATTTAAAACTAAGTAAACTTAGCTGCTGTGCGCGCCATGATGCATGCGAAAAAGCTTACCTTATCACCACTCCGGCAACGCCACCCACCCAAACGGTGAGGCTAAAAATAAGCGTGAATGGCAACGGACCAACATTCAGTATTTCTACGTTGACGAAGCGAGACGTGTGTGTGAACGGAAATAAAGCAAGCGAAGTTAAATCAAACCAGCGCTTTAAGTTAAAACGCAACGAAAGAAAATTGCGCGAGTTTTTGAACAAATCAATGTGGAAGATCATATTGCGAATAAATTTCAACTAAAAGGTAGTGAAAAGTGAAATAAATTGAAGCTGGAAATAAGTGGCCATTTTGATTTGGTTACGACAAAGAGCATAAAAACAGCAAAAGAAGCAAACATACACATGCACATAGAAAAGACGTAATTTTAAATCAAAATAACTAAATACATATGTATGTAGATTAAATACATACATTTGTATGTGTTTGCAATTTGAGAGGCTGTGCTGAACTTGTGTGCGTGAAGCGCGTGTACTTTAAAAGGTATAGCACAAATATTTAGATTAAGGCGCAGCAGCAAAGTAAAATTCCCAAATGTACACAAAATATTTATGATACAAACATACATACATATGTACATACATGTGTACAATTTGGCTGCTAATTATAAAGCGATAATTTTATGCTGTTATTGCGTTTTCACTTGTGCGCAACTACATTTGTTTCACTCACACGCGCGCTGTCAGTCGCGTTTAAAGCGCAGTTAAGTGAGCGTGATTAGTGTCTCTGTGTGCATGTGTGTGTGTGTCTGAGAGAGGGAGAGAGCTTGTGGTTTAAGCTGGACACAAAGTTCATACATCTGAGAATTTCCATAAAAATAAATTAAACAATTTTACAGAAATCGCGTAAAGGAATCACCCAAAAACAAACAATAATTAACAATTTACAATATATATAAAGACGGTAACGCGAACAGCAAAACATTTGTGTGCAGTAAACGGGCGCGTAAACACAAGCAAAGAGATATAATTAAAAAAAATATTAAGCAAACATCAGCAAAATGTGGAACCAAACACCAACGGAAAAGGCGGAACAACAAAACACAGCAACAAGTGATAATAACAAGGAAAGCAGCGCAGTCGCAGCTGCAGCCGATTGTGGCTGTAGTGCAAGCAGCGTGGGTGGCAGCAGCGGCAAAAACAGTGTTGAAAAGCAGCTCGATAACAAACAAACCTCTATTGAAAATAACAGTAAAACAACAAAATCAAACATATTTGGCGGCAAAACCAACGACGACTACGACAAGCAACAAGCAGGCAACCCCGCCATTAATAAGCAAAAAGAATTCTCAGCTCAAAGTGAAACGAGTGATTCTGGTTTTCTCTCCGGTCCTCAATCTTCACATATCTCCGACTATAGCGAGGAGTTTATTGATAACAAGAGCAACAACGATAACAAGGCCGACGAAGCGGTGGACCAAAAAAAGAAAGCAACAAGTGTTGAAGTTGTGACCGATTCTGGTATTATTGAAGACTCTGAGGGTGCCAGCTCAATGCTTTTGAAACAAAATGTGGATATGGAGGCAGGTATATCACAATGGACCGTACAATCCACCCTAGCCAGTGGTCCCATTAATAATTTAAATGCAACTGACAATGCTGGATCAAAAAGGGGCAACAATACTACTGCAAAACCACAACAACAACAACAAAACACAGCAGCTGGAAATCCTGCAATTTCGAATGGCATTAACATAATGAATGCTTGGGAGCAATTTTATAAACAGAACGACGATGGCGACACGTGAGTATAACAATTTTCAAATAAATTAAATTAAAAAACCAAAAGAATACAAAACAGTTAGACAACAGGTAGGCATTTCCGTTGAGAATTTCCAAAATTTGTTGACTGAACTGTGTGCGACAACGCATGGGGTAGAGTTTAATGAATCATATGGAATGACGGGAGGACGGAGACAATGAGACGACAACGACGCGACTTGAGAAATGCATCGCACATGTTAGTCAGACATCGGGTTTTCCGTGCATGCACAGGTGTTGAAAGGCAGCAAGGCGGGCAAGCGGGTGGGCGTTTAAGGCATAATTTTCAGGTAGTTAGAATGACAACAGGTTTTAGCAACCTTTAGCCGTTATGGTCGTTTTGTTATTTTATGTTTTCCTTTCCTCTCGGGTTTTTCACATTTCGCCTAAAGAGCAAGTGGCAGGTAAATGTACTTGCAGTTCCCTCTTTCAACATGTACCTTAATTGTTGTGTTTTGTTTTTCCTTTGCTTTCAGTCCACTGCACTTGGCCTGTATGTCGAGCTATGTGGATTCAAATGTCGTCACCGCTCTGATACGCATGGCACCGCATCCTTGCCTGCTAAACATTCAGAACGATGCAGCACAGACGCCCCTGCATTTAGCAGCACTCACACATCAGCCGCACTTGTTGCGCATGCTACTTAAAGCCGGCGCCGAGGTGAGTGCAAAAACATCAATATCCTCATCAGTACCTCAACTTAGAAGTAAATGCTGTCGATTTAAAATTACAGACCTTCAGCACTACTTCAAGAACACTTTGAAAACCTTGAAGTATTTCTATCCTAATTGTTTTAAACTGTTTACCAGAAAACTTGTAACTTAGACTCCTTATCTTTCATTCCCAACTCATCACACACGCCTTTATATATCAATAAAATGGATTTCTTATATCTTTCTATAAACAGCCAACTGTGCGAGATCGTCATGGCAACACGGCTTTACATTTATCCTGCATTGCCGGTGACAAGCAATGCGTTCGGGCATTGACCGAACAATTTAGCGCATCAGAAATACAAGAAGCGCATCGCAATTATGGACATCGCTCACAGGATAAAACTGTCTCATCGCTTAACTATGCACGCTTGCCAGCCGATCTAGAGATACGTAATTATGATGGTGAGTACGCATTGAAAATTCATATTTCATATTTTATTACTTGGCAGCATAGCCAAAAGTATGAAAGACAGAAAATATTTTGGCATTTGTGAAAAATGTGCCAAAAATACGAACGACTTATATGTATAGTATGTATGTATATATTCTTAAAGATATTTTTATGTGCCAGCCATTTGGCTAGCCATAGGGCGAGACATGCAGCCAAAAGTCTGTACATGCCATTCGTGTACTTATACTATACATTTACATATAATCGTATATCCTACATATAGCCGCTGTCTGCCGTTTATATAGTCGTTTGTCTGTTGCCAAGATTTTATTTTCCGTTGCCAGCATTGAAAAATTTACGCTTAGTCGCCATAGCAAGAAAAAAAAAGGCCACAAATACTTTGTCTGAAAATACACGGTCAGTATTTTTCGTTTGAAAATGTGTTCCCTTCTTCCCCTACCACCAGGCCCGTGCCCACCCGATTGTTCCTTGTTATTGATTTACGAAAATAGGCAAGTCAGAGCCAGGGCGCATTAATTTTTCCGTTTGACGTCAGCAATGTGCGCAATGTGTATAGAAAGAAGGCTAAACAACTGTTGTATTTCCCTCTTTTTCTAAAGTGTTTAAAATTTTTATTCTCTTGCTGTTCTTTGAATTTTTGCAAGCCTTTTTAACTTTTTTTTCAAATGCGACAACGCATGTCAAGGAAGCAGCGCAAAACCGAAACTTACCTGATTTCCAGCTAATTGGCTTGCAGCTCAGAGACCCATAAATACATATGTAAATACATAAGCCAATATGAATGTACATGTGTATATTGAACAACCAGGGCGGGCGGTTGTGATGGGCGTTGTTTCCTTATTTGTTTTTATTGATTATTTTGTATACAAAAATACATGCGCGCTTAAAAAACAACAATAAACAATGTAGAATTTGCACAACTGCGTCAATACACTTGCATTTGTCATCTGAATATAGAAGGGAAATACCTTTATAGAAAAACAAAACAAGAAAGTGATGTTAGAGTCAAGTGGGCTTAACAATACAATACTTTAGTTTGGGAAGGTCAGGTTATACTCTACAACTTACTATATTTACAACAATTTGTGTTATTTAACAAGTAGGTTTTGAATGTTCCAAAAGATAATGTTTGCAAAAGAAACTATATTTAGTAACTGTTTCTTCAAAAGCTTCCTTAACCAAAATTTAAAGGACTTATGGACTACTTAATTGAAACAAATTTGTTTTGTAGTTGGACTTATTTCTTTATCCAAAAAAAAAAACCATTAGTCAAGGGAACTTTTGCGAACAGGGGAAGACAGCAAGCTGGGAAATACTGCCCAAAACTTGACCCACATCATGAGAACAAATACCAGTTTAAAAAAAACAACAATTAACAATTGGTTTTGCAACGTTGTGTCTCAGACAAAAACTTTCCAAATCGGGGAAATAAAGGCGTACTTTTGGTCACAAAATAAAAAACCCAACATGCAAGCAATTAGTTGGCAAAACCGCAAAGGGGCCGAAACAAAAAGGCAAAACCGCCGAAAATCCGGAAGAAAGTAAAAGTATTTGTGGTTTTGCATACTTATATGTAAGTATGTGAGCATGCATCAGGAAACAAGGTTAATAAACTTGACAGCGCTGACCATTGAAGACACATAAGTAAATCGATATATACGGTTTATGAACGTACTTTCGAGTGGGCGTACTTGTGGCATTTAACCTTTGCCTTTGACATTCGCTTTTGGACGCATTGTTTAATCGATGTTGTCTAAAACCTTGCCAAAAATAACACACTTCGTGCCTTTGGTTCATTTAGAGCGCAAACATTTGCGGCTCAAACATTATTTTTTGCAGCTAAAGCCAGCAGAAACAGGTTTGATATACAAATAAACAGCTGCTGGATAATACATACATACATCTGTTATATGCATGAATATATGTATAGTATATACATATAGGTATATGTAAAATCTATGCATATAGTATCTGTAGCGACTTTTGGCTGGTTCGTCGCAGACATAGCCGCCAAAAACTATTCAAAATAAGTTTGCATATACATATGTATGTAGCCACATAAATAAATGCCAGCACAGCCGAAATGACTCTTTGCTTTGAATTTTCGAATTTCTTGGGTTTTTCCCCACAATGCAAAGAAGACGCATACGGCAACAACAGCCAGCAACATTTTGCAGATGCTCGCGTATTATGGATACCCTTGGGGGGAAAATCAAATGTAAACAATTCAGCAAATTAATTTAATTTTTAAACACAACATTTTTCTGATAAGCAGTTTAGTTGTTATGAGAATAACGAGGGCATTATTTGTAAACATGAATACGGCTTTCATTTTCTTTGGAAATATTTATTTCTATGCAATTTGTAGAACAACTTTGGGAACTTATGGTGGCATTATGCGGTTAAAAATTTTGCTTTAGTCATTGCAAAACTCCGGCAAGTCCGGAAATCCCTGATGGAATTGTAATTATAATATAAATGGATTCATGAAAATTGGCATTAATGTCATAATGCATTGGAAATAATTATGTGTGTTTCGTACAGATTGCGATTATTAGGAAAAAAATATGGTTGATAAATGCAATAAACGATTGAGCGCAACATAAATCAACTAGCAACATGATACAAGTATCTCGATATTAGTTTATTAATTTTTCCATTTCCTCCTAAGACCTTCAATGTGCAGATATTCCTAATAATTGTCTACAACCTAAATGTTAGCAATTACTATTGCGGAGTTATGCTTCTTTCAATGATTCACTATATAATCAGGAAAGTATTCCTGATTTCTACCTAATCTCTAACACCAAACTATGTATTATCAATTGTATTTTTGATTACATTGTTGTTTGTCATTTACTTGTTTCATAAACACAACAATTACGTTCGTATGCGTCACAGTCAAAAAGTCCCTTCAGTTTTACGCACAAATCTTGTAATAATGTTTATATACCTACACATTTGTACTTAGACATTAGTTACCCAATTTGTTTATTCCATTTAGCTGTTGAGATGAATATGCAAAAAAAATTTTCGTGCAAGCAAAATTTGTTTCCTCACAAGTTCCATGTTCTACATATAATGCAAATCATTGGCCAGCAGGTCGTCAGCTAGACTGGGGCCGAAACATCATAAAATTGTGTTGCAAAAATAGAAATGCTTTGATATTTAACCTGGCACGGGTCCAAGTAGACGAAATATTAAGTAAGTTTGCAGCTACAACTTGAAAGTGTGCAGCATTTTGGTGTACAGAAATGCGTTAGGTAATTAAAATGCATTAAAGACGATTTAACGGGGGCATTAATTTCTTGAAATACCAACTTTTATTAAGAATTTAAAGCAGCTTCACACGATTTAACAACAAAAAATATTAAAACAGTGCTAAAGATCTATAAATATCGGAGCAGAGTAAAAATTGTATTTAGTTTCTCTAAAAAATTAAAAATTTACATGTAATGGAAGCTATAATTCATGTATTATATTAGATGCTTTAAGGAACTTTACGGGAATTAAGAAATCAGTTTTTATGTGCACTAAAAGAGAAAATAGGTCTAACAAATTTTAAAAGCATATCTTTAAATATTATTTGCAATGTATGTCCGCAATATATGCTATATATTTATAATACCTATCATAAAATAACGTCATACTAGCATGTGACGGCGACGTTCTCCCTATTAAGTCAATGGGTTATCTTACATTTACGCCCATATATGTATATGGCATGTATAGTACATATGTATATATACTTATACATACATATGTATCTACTTATAGGTGCAAACAACCAAAAGCGGGACCTACATTTGTTTAACTTAACACTTCCATACTTACTGGCTGTTGTCTGCAACAGTCTGATATTTTTACTTGGGGAATTTCCCAATTATACACATTTATTTGTTTTACCCTATTTTGGGCGCACACACTCGAATTGCGATAATTAATTGGTTGGTGTGTCGCATTGAAATAAAGTTTATTTTATCATTCAGACGGCAACACGCACATAATACTACCAGAATTGCCACGGGACCTACAAAAATAAAAGCAGGACACACGCAACTTTCTAGCTTCTACAAGTATATAAATAGTTTTGTTACTATGTGGTGTATTGATTTTCTTTATGTGGCGTATGGGATTTTCAATTCATCAATTATGTGACCATTTATGGCAATTCGCAATGCAATCACAGTAAACTTTCCGACTGTTCTATATCTGTTGTTTTAGGGCATATCAATTGACAAGCTAAATCGTTCTATGATTATAATTGTATAATGTCATTCTTATCTGTATGAAATGAAAGAGCTAAATACATTTCTGACGTAGCTAGCGTTATCTATAATTGTGTCCCTATCCCCTAAAAGCTATTTCACAATAATAAACATTTTAAACTTAAGCACAACAAAGTCGTGATAATGATAAACGAAAACAATGATTTGAATTAAGTTGAGAAATCTATATGAGAATTTAGCTCATAAAATAACCTAAGTAATTTTCTCAGCTAATATTTGTCTGTATGCCTGTCTATCTATCAGTATTTCGGAAACAAGCTTGGTGAAGAGTATTAATGTTTATAAACGTTATTAGGTAATTTTTATTTTCAAAAATGACTAAAATAGTGTATCTAAGAAACTAGCTTGTACAAATATATCACTCCATATTTTTTAATTGTGTGTCACAGATTTGCAACGCGTGTATTAGCGGTGTCATTATAGATAATTATCTGTGATTTATATTATCATTCCAATAATGAACTTTGATCTAGTAATTAATGTCAGCACACGCTGATATTAAATGCTAGCCATATATCTAGTTTGCATTTACGTGATTATACGTGCTCTGTCTTCTAACACAACCTATCGCTCAAATATATAGCACTTGAAGCATAGGCAACAAATTGTATGCCACTCAAGAATTATAAAGGGAATTTCAGAGTGCGAAACACTGATAAACATTTGCCGCACATATGGCCTTGTCAGTACATACTGAGACA